CAACAATAGTCTTATAAGTTACCTTATGGAAGGAAACAGAATTCAACATAATTGAATTTCATACCTCTATTTTTCATACTATTCTTTTCAATTGATTTCTCGTTGGGGTCCTAATTGTAGACATTTACCTTTATTTGTATTTTTTTATATCTCTATATCAGTGAAACTATAAAAGAAACAATTGGGAATGTGTGATTCAGTAATTTCCAATATTTTGAGTAAATTAAAATGTACTGTAGAAATATTTTTTTTAAAGGCAGCTTTTATAAATTTGTTTATCATTTACGAACCATTAATTTTGAAATAATTTACTGTATTACACTTTGATACTTGTGCATCTGTGGAGTTAGATTAGAGAAACCTTAAGAATATTATACTATGATAAAGTTGTTTTACTTATTATATGGTAATATAAAATTACAAACAATATGAAATTAATGCTGTGATATTAACGTAGATATTTAACTAGACAATTTTTAAATATCAATAGGTAAACAAATGTTCATAAACATTGAAATGAAACATTAAATGTTTATGTATCTTAAAACATATGAAAACCATTTTTATTTGTTTGAGGATCTATGTTATGTTAAGACAAAACGTTAAAAAAGAAATTCAATTGTTTATTTGTTTGGTAATTTTCAATCACATAAATTGATCTATTTCAGAGTTCTACTTATTATTAAATAACATTATTATGTTAAAATAAGGTAATATATTGATATGTATTTCTTTAAAGAAATTTGTTTACAATTAATTTATTGATATTTGTATCTCATACTAGTTAAATATTACAATAAGTATGATTAAATATTCTATTTCGTATAAAATAACAAGCATAAAATGCATGGAAGGAAACAGGAATTACATTTTTTCGAATTTCATATTTTTGGTTCTGCTATTTTCTGGAGAGCTCCTAATTTCTATGAATTGTCTGCTTTTGACGTTAATACTTTTTTAATCCTTATTGTGTTATTCCCAATGTTAAAAGGTATTTTCTTGGCAACAGTGTTGCAGTTTATCGAATTAGGTTAACTTACTTTTGATTATCAAATAATTGCCAGAGTAACGTAATTAACTTGAATTCCATTGAATCGTAATTTAGATTACGTTTGTTCGATTGAACTATACCGTTTAAACTTAATCTGTTTTTAATCTTACGGCTGACTGTTATTAAAAATTGCATCCCAGGATTTTTTTAATCTTATTAGTCCACGTGAAAACTTTAATCCTTTCGCTCGGCTAGAATTATTAAGTCGGAAGCACGAATTTGGGATTAGTTTGAAAGTAGACATTCAGGATTATAAGGAAGAGGTTCGTGACTTCGATCTTTAAATTATCTTCAAAATTTTGAAATATAAAATATAGATCGTTTTGTGAAAGCTCTATTAATTCTTTAGATACAATTAAAAAATTTAATAATAATTAAAAAATTATTATTTTATTATTTATAGTATTTATATAAGAATAATCGGAATATCTACTTTTGTGAAAAAAGTGTTTATTTCAAAGAATATTTTTTAATAAAAACTTTCTTATTTCCTATTTCTAGGAGTGTGCCGGTACCAAAAAATTCGAACCTAGGGTTAGGTCGGGCAGGACTTCAAAAGTTTGTCCTCGTACTATCCTCAGGATCCGAACACGACTGGAGACCCGAAACTCAATTCGCAAACCGACACTACATTCGGGGCATGATTTTTTTGACTCATTTCAAATTTTTCTCGAATCGTATTCGGGTCTTGAAATTATCTGAACAAAATGTGTTGAACAAACTTTCGGGGTCCCGTTTGAACTTAAAAAAATTCTCAACCCGTGCCCAACCTGAATTGTCGGTACCCACACACCACTACCTATTTCATTTTAAACGGATTAGTTTTCATATTTTGCCTAATTTTTGTATTTTAATATATTAATATTTTAATATTTCTATATTTTATAAATTAAATAAAACAATTCTTTTAAATTTTTGAAAAAAATTAAATTCTCATGTTCTCAATATGAAACTTGAAATCATATTGTTAAACATTTAGAAGAAGATTAGATAAAGTGATACCTATTGAACTCTTCAAATATTTAATTGCGCAGTTTTGAACCCTTTTTATTTATTATTCATTTTAATCTGCTTTTGTTTGTATTGTATGAACTACGATCTACTGATATTATACAAAATTTTATTTATATCTCAGCACTTCGTTGAATCTTTTTTTCTGTTCATAAAATCGACGGCTACAACAATCATTTATGAAACTATGAAAAAAAATTACAATAATATTTTATAATGGAACTTGCATTATGCGGCATCATGTATACACCGTTTCAAACTTATTGCTCGCATCAGCTTGCTGGTAATACATTTCATGCTCGTGCATTTCGTTGTCGCGTAAATAATTTTCACACAGACACCCAAACTGGTCCGTTTCATACTAAATGCAATATTTCAGTCACTGGCTTCGTCATACCAACCTAAATTCATTGAGTGCGGATTGTTATCGTTTGTCGCTATTAAAAACAAGATTAACGACTTCGACAAGTCACTTTATAGCTTAAAAAGGTGTATTTGTTAATGTTAAAATTTTTCAGGAAGATTAATATTTATTAAAGAAAAGAATATTTCATTTTTTTTTCTAGTCACATGTGAAATCAACCATAGACTATATTTTTCCATGTTCTATTTCATTGTATTAGGCTGTTGCCTATTAAATGATAGAATACAAAATACAAAGATCAGTACTTTTTTAATGACTAAAAAATCACAACCAAATTATAAAATATTGAAATATTTCAAATGCCAAAAATTATACCAAATTATGCCAATTTATATTAAAATATTTATATTGAAATATTAACTAATCACATAATAATTATTTTATTTTCTTATATCATTTCTATACACAAAATTCACGTTTATCTGTACATTAATAATATACGAATCTTGCCAAATGGCAGCAATATAAATTATTCAGTGATTTTAAAATGAATTAATACGCTTGAAATGTATAAATAAATACATTATCAGCATCGCAGTATTTGGAACGTATAAAGCAGAGATGTTGATTTCGAGATTCCGTTTGCTTCTTCAGTGTCCCATGCTCGATCGAATATTCCGGTGCTCGTTCAAATTGACAAACAGTACCATTAATTCCACGACCTTTGAATAGCTATCGAGTCATGATCGTCTAACGGATGACAAGCAAGCACACAACGATAATGGTTGGTGATTATGTCGTAATGAGAGATTTATTAAAGAATCATTCATGCTTTGGTGCATTCTATTTTGATAAATTGTCATTTCAGCACGATAAAAGTAACGTTTATCCCAAAAAAGATTTCTTTAAAAAAGAATATTTTATGATAAATAATTTGATATATATAGATAATTTATTGTGGTGCAGTTTGTAACAGAAAATTTAAAAAATTGTAGGCACGTGCGAATACTGATAAAATTTAACTGGCTTTTAATTTCATAGTATGAAAGTGACAGTAAAATAGAAACTGAATTTATTAATAATAAAATAATACAGAATAAGGGTTCTATAGAGATGAAAGGATGTAAAACTTTAACATGGAAGCAAGGATTTAAATTTCAAACTCCATATGGATATACATCTTTTACAAGTGAAACAAGGTTATTCGATTTTTATTGAATTTGAAACGCTACACGGTTATTTAAATTTTTTATAAAGCACTATGGAGTTCACATTTTGAGGTCAAAGGGCTTTCAAGCCTTATGCAACGCGTTTCAAATATCACATGCAAGATTAAATTGTCTCTTGTAATAAATAAGGATACGACTGAGTGCAATTAAAATTGCATAACATTTTTACTTCAAATTTTTTCTCTGAAATTATTTCATTAAAATTTCAATGGTGGAAGATTGTAATTTCTAAATTTTTTTTCGTAGCTTTTCAAAGACGAAGAACCGCTCTTTCTTATTTAAAAAAATTTATGATATTTGTAGTTTTTGAAAAATGTAAAAATTTAGATGCCTTTCAAAAACATTTCTATGTATATTCGTGTATAGTAAAATAATTATTTAAATAGAAAAAGTTAAAATTTAAATTTTCTCGAACATGATTCATGTTCTAATGATTTTAAAAAGTGGAAATTTCCAATATATCAAAAATTATTAAAATAATAGGAATAATTCTTCCAACAAAAGGAAAACTTCTGTTATCACTAATAACTATCGCACTTAAAAAATGTAAAAAGAAATATGCATAGGAAACATTATCACCGATCATTATTTCAATTGATAAAGGCTTCATCTTAATCTCCCAACCATTATATCATAATTACTCCATCATTCCTCCAACTTGATAAAATACAATTTTACATAAACACACACATTAAGACACAAAACTAATACAGCACAGCGTGATGACACACCCCTAACAAATAATCTGCTGATAAAAAGAAAATGTGAAGAGTAGTAATGCGGATAAAGGGACCGATTAGCTTCGCTATTAACGACACCTTGTTTACGCCTCTCGCATTCGTGCGTATATCGGATAATGGAGTAACCACCTTGATAACAGCATAATTCGATGAAACGCGTCAGAAACGGAAAATACAGGCGAAGACCGGAAGTGTATATCGCGTTAGGTGAAATTAGTTAAAATACGAGTAGTTCGCATCGCAGCTCTGCTACCTTTGTAGATGTCCTCTTAACTGGACAGCGTTCCTATCGTTGGTAAAAACAAGAGAAATGCAAGTGGAAATAAAAGGATAGATCAAAGAAAAAAAGAACAAGAAAGAGACGTATGGTACGACGAATCGCATGGTGACAATTTTCGTCACAACACGGTACAGTTTAGCCTCTGTTCTCTAGCCGGTAAATTAGCCTTGGTATTTTTCGATCTACATATGTCTACCCTAGGAGATTTCCGTTCTCGTTTCTGTTTCCGTTTCCCGTTTCCGTTTGTTAAGCCGACTTCACTAAGCGGAGCTGATGAAAACAGAGCTGGATTTGTAACATGTCCCTATGGTGTGTGTGTCGACAGCTCGGGAATCGACAATAATCCGACGGTGTTTTACCGGTTAATGCCCGGATCCACGGCTCAAACCAACAAGTTTCACACGTTTTACCTTCAGCAACGAGCCGAGAAGTCCGTCACCTGGGCCGATATCAAGGTTAACCATCCTCTGGATTACGAGAGCATAAAGGAGTACAATCTGACTATACGAGTCGAGGTACGTGCAAACATCTTGGATTTTCTATGTGCCAACTCAGAACGAATGTTTCAGAGTAATTGTACTGTTGTTAAAGTAAGCTTTGACTTTTGGACTTTGAAAGCTTCAGTTATGCTTTAGAACTTAACACGTTCTCTAGTAAGACATATTAAAATACTAATTATTCAGGATACTTAATGCTTCGCATTATTAGTGTAATACTAACATTATCGATAAACAAAATCATGACAGTCAATGTGTTAACAGATAAGACCATTAAGATTCGAATCTTGAGCTGTAAAAGTTAGAATCTTCAACCCTCCCGAAGTGACAAACTTTAACTTATAAAATTGTTACAGAGTTTATTTTACAAAATCTGATTATTAAAATATAATAGATAACTATTTTGACTATAATTCAAGGAAAGTTATAACCCAATACTGTAATTATCTTACTATTAGAAATTATGGTAATTTATGTGTAAAGGGTCTAGCCGTATAAGCATAGTGAATCGGCCCCAGTAACAATTTCGGTTGATATTTATATCACATAATGCTTTTTGCCTAAACAACAATTGTGTGCAATTTCAACCCCCTACCCCCTCTAATAAGGGAGATATGAGGGTAAAACCCAAAACCTTTACCATTTTTTTTCTCAGAAACTATTTAAGATATTTGATCATATTAAAGTGCAAATAGTAGGTATTCATTAGCTGTATATCATATTTTTTTTTCAAAATTTTTATTCAATGATTAAGGTTTGAAAATTAATAAATAAATCTTTGAAAATGATTTTTATAAACAATCCCTTGGATGACACCCACCGAAAAAATTCAGAATAATCCTTTACTATTTAACTATTATCTGTAAAAATTTCAAAAGTGTCGGATTGGTACATCATAGTTAAAAAAAAATAAAACCAATGCAACGCCCTTTCATAAGGCAAAGCCGGCCTGAACGTTAGAGGCGCTCAACCTAACCGACCTACAGGGGAATACGTAGCGCCGACCCGCCACGTTTCTCGTATCAGAAACAGCTCTCAGAAAAGTATGAGCTCTTCTTTCCCTAAACTGTGTGTTAATTAACAGTCATTTATTTAAATAATATATTAACAATTTCAATTTTTTAATTAAGTTTTCTGGTCCTAATTTTTAACGTCCGTGTTTTCACGGTGTTTCTCGTTTTAAGTATGTGGGAGCCCTAAAAAGAGCTGATTATGTTGTACGTTACAAATGGCACCCTTATATAAATGCAACTAAGGTGTTCCTCGTTTTAAGTATGTGGGAGCCCTGAAAACGGCTGATTATTAAGCCCTAAAAAGAGCTGATTGTGTTATGTATTGTCAGGTTGAAGTATATGATTTGAAACAGAAAACTCAAAAAGTTTTTTTAAAAAAACACGCTTGTAAATAAATTTTAATCTTCGTCGCTATTTTCATCAATAACTGGAATAATGTTAGTTTTGTCAAATAAATGAGTTAAAATTTCGGACGGTTTAACTATTCTGGATTTATAACGCGCATGGGATAAATAATAAATGATCGCGACGACGTGGGAGCAACAACCTACCGTTCTGTTACCAATCGGACAATCGCATGCATATTGGTTTATACCCGCGTAACTATTTACGTTTGATTTGTATTCTATGTAACAATTGTAAGTTTTACCGTTTATATGTCGCGACCGAACTTTCATTTTTATAATGTTATTGTTTTGTTGTAAATATTGTACATTTAACGCGTCATGTTCGTCCAATAATTCCGCAAGATAACGTTTTTACCGCGAGATTTTAAAGTTTGCAAATTCTATCCAATTAACGACTCCTCTATATTCGGCAACAAGAGGGAACAAGACAGTGGACACTAAAATCATGGACTCAGGATCGTACGCTTTACCCTTTATGATGCGTTTATTTACACGCCAATTTAGGCTCCGTGATTGCGTAAAAAAGTATCGAGGCATATAAAACGCATTGGAAAATACACCATTTGTACCATAAAACGCGCTTAACTCTTTTCTGGACACCCATATACTTAAAACGAAGGTCACCTTAATTGCAGCCATTTCCAGGTAGTACTGGTACGCTATAATATAATTAACCCTTTTCAGGGCGACCATATACTTAAAACGAGGAAAATCTTAGTTACAACTATTCACAGGTACCAGCTACAATTTAATTAAAAGTAATACGTACGTGAAAAGGTAAAGACGGAAATAGTTATAGAAGTCTATGTTCTTTACAGCGTTGAATAGAATGATATTGCAGTTATACCTGTGATACCTTCTTTGACTATTAAAAGGATAACTAATGGCATCTAACACAGTGCCATTGTTCAAGACATGATATAAATCTGTGATTTAGGGCTCCCACATACTTAAAACGAGAAACACCGTGAAAACACGGACGTTAAAAATTAGGACCAGAAAACTTAATTAAAAAATTGAAATTGTTAATATATTATTTAAATAAATGACTGTTAATTAACACACAGTTTAGGGAAAGAAGAGCTCATACTTTTCTGAGAGCTGTTTCTGATACGAGAAACGTGGCGGGTCGGCGCTACGTATTCCCCTGTAGGTCGGTTAGGTTGAGCGCCTCTAACGTTCAGGCCGGCTTTGCCTTATGAAAGGGCGTTGCATTGGTTTTATTTTTTTTTAACTATGATGTACCAATCCGACACTTTTGAAATTTTTACAGATAATAGTTAAATAGTAAAGGATTATTCTGAATTTTTTCGGTGGGTGTCATCCAAGGGATTGTTTATAAAAATCATTTTCAAAGATTTATTTATTAATTTTCAACCCTTAATCATCGAATAAAAATTTTGAAAAAAAAATATGATATACAGCTAATGAATACCTACTATTTGCACTTTAATGTGATCAAATATCTTAAATAGTTTCTGAGAAAAAAAATGGTAAAGGTTTTGGGTTTTACCCTCATATCTCCCTTATTAGAGGGGGTAGGGGGTTGAAATTGCACACAATTGTTGTTTAGGCAAAAAGCATTATGTGATATAAATATCAACCGAAATTGTTACTGGGGCCGATTCACTATGCTTATACGGCTAGACCCTTTCTCTTGGTCGAAAAGTTTCAGGAGTTACAGAGATATTCTAATGAAAACACTCATCTTCAATCTGATTTCTGGAAATTAAATTAAAGAAAATTATTGAACATAGCAAGTTGACGTTTAGCATGCATATTTATTTATACGTGTTTAAAATAAGCCATTTTATTAAAAATTTAAGGGATAATGAATAGTCGACTGAACGAAACAAACGTAGTTCCATTTTATTTACCATGAATATGATTATTGTTTAACCTAGAATAGATAATGTAAAAAAGAATTGATAGAATAACAGGGCTTTAAAAGAAAGCTTTCAATTTGACTCAACAATTTTTATTTCTCGTAAAAAATAACTTAAAATATGCTCTATATGTATGCAAAATTTCAAGTCGAACCGCTCAGTAACCTTTTGAAAAAAAGATGCATCCCCACTTTGAAAAATATAATTTGAAAATAACGGATATTTTAAAAGCAATGTAAAATGAAGCGAATTATAAGATTTTTCGTTAGCTAATTAGGAGAATTTAGAGAATTTGCAGACTGTAAATTGAAAGTCGAAAAAAATGAAAGTTTAGAATCGATTACAATTTTTATATGTTACAATTTTTCCTATTAAATAATATTTTACAATACATTAAGTATTTTCTATTTTGTGTTTTCAAAATTTAATTAAACATTACTTTAGCCATGTATATTGTCCTTATTAATTTCTTTCATAATTGTATATTCCTAATTAAATAACTTATTTCAATGAAGTTTTGTTTTGCATACAAAAGTCTAATTAATTAGATCCGTAGTTCGTTTTACAAACACATAGGATAATCCAAAATATTTTATATGATACGAGGATATAATTGAATTTCGACTGCTGTGCAGTTCTATAAAAGAGAACAGCGGAATCTCTTTGGTTTTCAAAGTACCACGTGATATGATATTGAATGCAGTTAATAAATTTCACAACGAGCGGTATTTCTCGCGAAATTGTCGAGCTACTGGGGAATGCAATCTCCCCGGTTAAATAACCACTGTCCTTTAATCCATTTAGAAAACTGAGGACGGAGCAACTTGAAAATCCGCTTACGAATCTCTGTATTATTTTTATTTTACCAACTACACGGAATATCTGCAGCTTGTGCTTTTCACGTAGTAAGTAGCTCACCGTGAAAATATGCTTTTCATTTGTTTCTTCGGATAATGAAAACCCACGAACGAGTAAGCTTTTTTTCGAAAATTATCTTAAAATTCGATAAGAATCGTATCCTTACACTCTCCACTTTTGATTCAATGTTTGCAACGAACGTTGATTATGATGCAATTTCAAATGAAATATTAGTGAAATGAACAAAATAAAAGTTGCAGGGCAGATTTGTCCACTCTGTGAGACACAGTTGTCTCGCAACATTAAATAGGAAAATTCTGAAAGAAGGAAATTAATATAGTCTGTACTTAAATAGAAACTAAATAAGCATAGTTGACGCAGAAAATTCAAGGTGCGCGTAAGATAAAGATAATCTTGTTTCACAGAACAATGGTGCCCAGCAGCTCGCTTCTGAAGCAACCGTCTACATTGTCTTGGAGGACGTTAACGACGAAATACCTTTGTTCACCGAACGCGAACAAGAAACCGTACTCGAGGGTGAACCGGTTGGCAGTAAAGTTACTCAAGTCAACGCGATTGATAAGGATGGCACTTTCCCGAATAATCAGGTGAGTAAACATCATGGAGAGTATCCATTTCCACCGGTACACGAAACGTCAATCTGCGAGAACGTTACACGACTTCGAATAACTTCATGATAATTAACGATCAATTAATTGCTTAAGTTTGCTGATGATCGCTATTATATTCTCTTTGTTTAATTTTTTATTAAATAAAATATACAGGAATTTAGGTCATGGATAATTTGTTCAAAGAAACAGTCTATTAGAATGCTATACTATTTTTCACGAGAGAGTATGTAGTACCATCGGATGAACGAATTCTGGTTTTATTTGCGCATGTTGGCTCTGATTGGTTCTGCCACGCTCCGTTACCAAGGTAACGCGCAAGCGCTGTACGACTGTATGTCGTAAGCCACGCTGGGTAGAAAGTATATCCAGTGATCATAAACTTGTGAATTATGATTCACTACCTCTGTCCTATGTATAATTATAAGCCGTTCCTATATTAGTATATTTTGTCCACCGTGTATATGGCGGATGCAATGTGAAGTACAGTATTGCCTCGAAATAAGCAACTCGCTATCCTCTCTTCTTTGTTTGAAGTCGCCCGCAAAGTGAAGTCTAAGAAATGAGTGAGAGGTCTGTGAAAGCGAGAAGCCGATGTTTTGGGTAATAAATTTTACGTTCGACTGATGAGCAGTGACATCGGTTAGTAAAAGAAAGGTAGAATATAAATATAATATATAATGCTTTCTCATTCTGGTATATTTGCCTCGAAATAAGCGTAGTACGAGAATGAGAGAGCATGCTATATTCTATCCTTGTTCAAAAAATAATATTTATGATTTGCCGCTACCTCGGATCTCTCACTCGTTTCTCGTGTCCTCTATCGTCCCGTTTCGAGAACAAAGTCGAGCCGAATAGCATACTTGCTTCGTAATAAGCAACTGTTCGGTTCCGAGCGAGTTGCTTATTTCGAGGCAATACTGTAAATCATGATGGGGTAGCGCTACTGGTGAGGGAACTTTCTGAGCTCACGTCTTACTCTCTCGTGAAAAATACTATGTATACATACAGTAAAATCTCTCTAGTTGTCCGTCAAGCTGAGAAGCGAAAGTGAACAATATGGGCAGGGTAGACACGATTTTTCGAGCCTCGCGGCTGTTTTTTATCTCCGGCGACAAATTTTAAAACAAAAGGATAGCATGAGAGCCGTAGCAGCCCAGAAATTAACGACAGTTTAACTTTCTTATTTTTAGATTTTTCTGGATGTCAAATTATTTTAACATATTGGTACAATTTTTCTGATTAAAATGTGACCAAATATAACGTAATTTGGACTGCATGGACGAAAAAAAAATTCGCATTGGGGATGTTACCTTGTACATAAAATAAAGTAAATATGCTCCAAATTATATCGTGTTTGGTCTCATTTTAACCAGAAGAGTGTGGCCAATATGTTTAAAAAATCCGTAGGTAAAGAGAATTAATATTAAAAAACTCTCATCATAGAAGTTGCGTCGCGTATCACGTGACTGACTCGACGAACAAAACATAGACGTCGGGTAAGAAATACATAGGCGTAGAACGAAATCGGTGGGCTGTATCAGCAGGTCAACAAAGGGACAACTAGAGAGATTTTACTGTACATCAATTTGAAGTTTAAATTTTAATGAAAGTTCATTTTAATGTTCTTAATACAGAAGAACTAGTTGCCAGTTACAGCAAACAATTACCAATTTCGAAGGACATAAAGTCTAATATAACTTCATGACATAAAAATATTGCAAGATGACATTTATGATGTAAATTTAAACGTTAAAGTTTGTAAAAAATAGTTACATAAACGATTCATCGGTATAGTCAATACAAACTGGTTAAATCATGATTAATCACAGATTATGGGAATCTACGAGATCCATAAGTCCAGTTTCCCTAAATAAATATTATGATGTTAGCAGTTCAGTAAACGGATACATGTATTATTCAGACCGAAACTTTGTTAATTTAACCCGGTGAAATTGTGTTTGTCGAAGTCGCGGTTATGATGGAAATGCCGTGTAACTTTGTTGCCCGGTGTAATGTTGTTATACTGTAAAATACCGTAATTAAATGTGATCGCGCGAACCCCGTTATAATTTAAAACGTCGTACAGTTTCATTGCAACGTGTCGCCGGCAAGTGCTCTTGACACCTTATGTAAATGTCTGCGGCAATATTTATTCATCGTTGTTGTCCCTTCATCGTGAGAATGTTAAGGGTAGTTTGCAGTTAATAATTTATTTTTGAAACGGTTAGTCAAATACATTACACTGACAAGTCTCTGCTAAATATTCTGTGCTATACTGTTTTACATGATTGAAAGAATCATGATATGATAAATTTGTTGATTATTCAGATGTTAGTAAAAGTATGCAACATTCTGATGGGATGTCGCGTAGCAAATTTTTTTTTTATATATTGAATGACTGACAACGGCGGCTAGCGACTTTTGGTGATGGAGGGTTGGCGAATCTGACAAGGGAAGTTCGGTAACTCGAAAATTCCGATTTTTTTTCAACTTTGCAGGTTTGTAGGGAACCTCAAGAGAAGTATAGCACAATTTTTGTTTTTGGTCCAATTTCAGTTCTTCAGAGTGAAAACACCCACTAATGGTAGATAGGTGTTTCCATATTTCCCTGTATATCTTTAAAACTATCGTAGATATAAAAGAATGGTTATAATAAACACATATTATACATATTATACATATGTGCTCGCACACATACATACGTGGTGAGTGATAACGCAACGTTCAAAGTGCAACGATGGGCGTGCAAAGTGCACGTATCGGCGAAAATTATTTAAATACCACTTTGTTCAACAAATTTAGCATACATATTTGCATTTATAACGAGATTCTACGTACTATTCGACGTGACAGTGAATTCTAAACTTCTCAAAATAACAGTGGTGGGGGGAATTTTTTTATTTAAACAAAGAATTTTTATCAATTTAATTGTTTCGTTTTATAGAGCATTAAAAACCATTCAATGTTTATTATAACCATTCTTTTATATTTACGATAATTTTAAAGATATACAGGGAAATATGGAAACACCTATCTATTTTCAGGGGGTGTTTTCACCCTGACGAACTGAAATTGGGCCAAAAACAAAAATTGCGCTATACTTCACTTGAGGTCCCCTACAAACCTGCAAAATTTAAAAAAAATCGGAATTTTCGAGTTACCGAACTTCCCTTGTGAGTGAAATAAAAAAAGAGACGTTATGTTTTTCAGTTGAAGCTGAAGCTTAGTACGTTTTAGTTCCATGTCTTAGAAATTAGGGTTTTACGTTTTAGTGTTCATGCATGATGCAATTTATATTTTTGTTTCAATTATTTTAAGAGTTTAATATGTGTTTAGTTCCAAATATTTTCCTACATATATCATAGAAGATGAAAGTGTTTGATATTTTTCAATCCCACAACATTTTGTTTGTTTATTTTAATCTTCTCAGTCATATTTTAAAAAGTTTATCATTGCAATATTATACATATAATTAGCAGCACTGATAGTTGATCACTCGTAATAAAACAAAATTTTAATGTGTACGAGATTGATATGTAACAGTTTTAAATTGTCGAAAATACAAATATAACCGAAATATGATACATCGGAACAGCTAGAAAAGCCATGCAACAGATTTCAAATGGATGCAGGTATTAAAAAGCACTTTACTGTATAGTCTAATATTTATTCGTGGATGTATACTATGCATAGTTGTTTAAAATGATATATTTCATAGAGGATCAAATAGATAAACCTTCAAATTTGTGAAATTGAAAGGTGATTAATTTTCATTTTTCAAATTTCAAAATGTGCTTTTTATTTCAATTTTTATATTAATCTTCGGACGGCGGACCATGGAGAGAGCCCCAATTCGTATTTCATATTATTTTCATTTTCTAAATTTTATGCTGTTCCTTTAAAAAAGATTGTTGAAATATGTATGAAACTGTTTCGTTTAAAAATTATACATTCAACTTTAGATTAATCCTTGTACATATTTGTACATCCTTGTACATATTTTGTAAGTTTGTGTCTTGATTATCGCGACTTTACTGCTCAAGGAAAAAAAACACTTTACGTTAATAATAATTGCTATAAGGAATTAATCTTATCACCATTTCTGCCTGTATTAAAATCGAGACGTCCTTTTTTGTTTAGGTCACTTATTACGTGGTCGACAGCGATAGGAACGAAGGAAAGGACTACTTCGAGATCAACCGCGAGACGGGTGAGATTTTCACGAAGGTTATGTTCGATCGTGAGAAACAGGGCGCTTATGCATTGGAAGTGGAGGCCAGAGATGGTGCACCATCGGCGAGACCTAACAGCAACGGACAACCGAATTCAGGTACGTGGATCATCGAGTTTTCTTCGAATTCGTTTGACGTGGCCTAGCCATGTCGACGCGTATTCACTTCGAAATTGAATCTGTTCGGAAGAGGATTCGGATGGGAAACTTAAGCTGGAACGTACGATCGTATTTCTTCATGCAAACGTAGAGTAGATGGGCGAAGAACGTCGTTCTTCTTCGATCGCGTTCTTTCGATAATTCTTCTAAGGTGATTGAAAAGGGAAAATAAATGCGAAGTTCGTAAAATATCGTTACACGAGCAGGGGTTAAAAATATCAAACAAGAATGAAATAATTGTTAAAAATTTTTTCACGTAGAATCACTTTTTCTATGGTTAGGATATCCTATACTTTTCAGAAGTCTCATATGCTTCGAAACATTGGCGGAGCTTATAATTCGGTTCAATTATCGCAAAGTTTATGCAACGAAATGGAATTTTGAAAATTCATCAATTTTGTTCATGGCTGATTGAACTCGAAACAACAATTGGTCCTGCTTGACCACACTATGCATAAGAGGGCAGAATTCTCTGGTGAAAAGTTAGGAAAACGTGACCAATTGGCTCGCTGCTTAAGCGCACGTGTTGAGTAATTCCGCGGGTGAACTTGTACAATTGCGAATTCCGCATGAACGAACCGAGGTACAGTGTCACCAAAGAAATTGAATTCTGTATTACGGTGGTTCGATAAATTTGCAACCGAGAATGAATTTCTGATACGTGCCGTCCTGTAAAACGGAGTCATTTGTTCTCGAATGCACGAGCCAATTCGGCTTTGAGCGTTCGCGGAAGGATTCACGACGATGCAATCGTGTTCTGAATCCTTCGGATAGGATAATCGCGAAAGAATTGAATGAAAATGTTTTAGACGAAAGACAGTCGAAAGGACGAAGGATTGGAGATAGTGATATGCATGGTATCGATCAAGTGATACGAAAGCTCTTCAAATTGTTTTATTGAAATTGATATCGGAAATATTCACGAATGGTGAAGTGTAAAGGTAAATAGCGTTTGGAAATTCAAAGGTTAGAGTAGAAACAGCAATTTGTGAAGGAGAACATAATTGCTTGTATAAAATGTATATAAATTGTAGGAGATAAAATCTAAAATTAGACTGCTCCAGAAAATATTTTAGTCTGTAATGTAATTTGCAATAATTAGTTATAATTTTCAGTTCTACTAAAGTAACTCTATTCTCCCTATTCCCACTTTTTATATCTAAATGAATAGGCAAATTAAACAATTCTCATTGTTTATATATCTTTTAGAGGTGTCTTTTGACAGGTCTTTCAAATTAATTCATTTATTTCCTTCTTTTAGAAGAATCTTTATTTCCTCAGAAAGGTCCATTGCCCGAATATTATGTTCGTGACTCATGCGACTTATGATATACGCGTACGTTTTAGATCATCTACCAATCCTGTGTTCACCCTTTCAAAAAGTGAAAACCGAAATTGCGTTTTACATAATATGCCTAATATATTTCGATAAATATTAAATATTAAATAAAGTATTTCTATCCATGCTTCTAGAATCTAGATCAAACCGTTTCCGAAAGAGTCTAAAATTTCAATTCGGTCCTTTACCCTCCCGGGGGCCGAATTTTGAAAAATCCCTTCTTAGTTGATGCTTGCGTTTTAAGGGGAAGTCATTCTCAAAATTTTAACTTTTTAGGTCCAGGGTTTGGATTATAATTTTTAAGTTAGCGAGTCAGTTAGGATTTTATAGATGTATGTATATTTTCCATGCTTTGTACAGAGATTCATCTACAGGGTGTCCCACGACTACGTCAACAACCGAAGAGGGATGATTTACAAGGTGATTCTAAACAACTTTTTCCTTTGCCAAAATGTTGATTAAGGCTTCGTTTTCGAGTTATTAACAAAAAACACTGGCCAATTAGAGCGCGCCTTTAGCGCGGGTCGGACCACGACAGTGTGGGGTTTGCTCTGCGTTCAAGCCATGCATGGTCATGCTCTCGTGGTTCGGTCCGCGCTAAAGGCGCGCTCTGATTGGCCAGTGTTTTTTGTTAATAACTCGAAAACGAAGCCTTAATCAACATTTTGGCAAAGGAAAAAGTTGTTTAGAATCACCTTGTCAATCATCCCTCTTCGGTTGTTGATGTAGTCGTGAGACACCCTGTAGACAAAAAATTGGAATAAAAAAAAAATATTGACATATGTATATCTTCCACTTGGTGAAAGAACTTATTTTTGTAAAATAGATAGTTCAACTTCATAAAAAGATCAAATTAAGTAATTCACGCTGCAAGGAAAAGATTAATATTTATTAACAATAGAATAATATATCTATTGTTAAATTCACATAAATTATACGATGGTAATGAGATTTCAATCTAATTTCAGAAATTTATTTAAATGGAATATTTCATTTACAAAACATATGTACTTATATTTGATAGAACGATTGTATATTTTACAATACATATAAATTTAAATATTCTAATGCAGTTATAAAATACAGTCTTATTTGAAATAGTATGCTTCTACATCATTAAATGCAAAAATAAAAGTTTATAAAATGGACTTCCTATTCTTCTTAAACTACTAACTTCATAAACGAATCATATTTTAGCGGTATCATTAAATTGAAATTCTCTTTGATACGTGAAAGTTAAATGGCAGTACAGTTTCACAGAATAAAGTAACTTACATATCGCTTTCAAATGCAAAATACTCTCTTTCCTCAATTTATAAAAGAGCTACGTCCCTGAAACTATTCCATTATTCATATTTTCAGTCAAAATTTTCTTAACTGGTGCTTACATATTCTTAAAACTCGTCTGTATCCTTTATTACGAGTATTCAAAAAGTTTAGAGTAATTTTCGTATGCAAATTGACAATTTTACTCTAGTTATTACAAAGAATAGACCTAGAACTACATCATAAGAAAAGAGAATAAACCTTGACAAATTACTATGATGTTAAGAAATATCATATTAATGTCACCTTGTAATTACAAATAAATATAATAATATTTAAAAATAATTACTGTTTTCTGTGCATCACGATATCCATTTGTAATTAAGTTGCAATAATTACAAAAGAAAAAACAGTGAAACTATATGAAACGGAGCTTCGTGAGATACCTAATAAAAACATGAAATTATTTAATTGAATTCTTACTGAATAAAATCTAATATATTCCAAAATGCAGTATACCAGCGGTTCTTAATTAGTGGTAAAAACTGGTGATGTCTCGAGTTTCCACTTTTCCCTAAGCTCTCGGCCCTCTTTGTAAGCACCCAGAAGGAAAATGTTGATTTGCTGATATAGGTCTACACTTGAGTATAAACGTTTACACGGGAAAATTTGAATCAATATTTACTTTGTTATATACTACATTTCGTAATATTTAATAATTACAAATTACATTTTTTTTTCTAAGTTACTTTGAACATTAATATCATCAAAATGAAGATTTGGAGAATTCCTGCTTTCCCCATATTGCTATTTTAATATACTTTTTTTTGTACAATTCTTTATATTAGAAACAAAGAAAAGAAATATATGACGGTAATCTCTAATCTCTATTAAATTCTTATGTACAGAGCATACTTTTCTTGGTGGTACCGAAATTCTTGTATTTTGGTCTCGGTGATACGAATTTATGCAAAAAATGAGAGTCGCTACAGTATACTATTACAATTTTATTGATATTCAAAACCAAAATATGAAGTTCGCGTTGAATTTATTTCTTGTTCAAGAATTTCATCCTTCACAGATGAACTTGAAACAGCATGCTGTCAGCTACCACATTCAAACTTCACAAATAAAAATTCTTCTACACTTTAAACAAGTTCATGAAAATTTCACATTAAAGACTCATCAGTTACTTTTAAGTTTGGATTAATCTGAGCTACTTCCGAAAAGAATTTAAACAAATATGAAACTTTGCTACTACTCTCTTCTTTAAATTTAATTATAAAGTTGTATCAATCCTTGTTCAGGTTAATAGCAGTCATAATCAGTACCGTCTTAAGGCATGTATGTACTGGCCAATTTTTCAAAGCTTATATTATATTCTTCAAAAATTTGTATTGATTATTTGTGTCTGTGTTAATTATATTAATTTTTTCGATCATTTGCATTCTTATTCCCATGTTTAGGTAGGGCGCAATGTATTGCTTTGCCCAGTGCTGTTAAGACGGCTCTGACCATTTTGAATTAAGTGGCAGATAATCTATTAATTTAATTATAATTACTATTTAATAGAGTGGAAAAAAGAGGGGTAGAAAATGTTAATCATATTAACGTAGAAAATGGATAAAATTACTTGAAAATATAAAATCTTCAGAATTTGTTTGACACGTGGCAAAACAATGACTTTGGGTCGTTCGATGGTCGTGCATTATTCGGATAATGCAAAAACTGATTACTGTTGTCGACGCTGTGGCCTTTGCACAATGGTTCCCGACGATAAATCCCATAACGACTACTCCATTATTGGCTTTTTGGTAACGCGCGTTTTCCTCGCCGAGGCACGGAAACTCCATTCTCATCGCCGCCAGTGGAATCGTGAAATTTATAACGCGTAATATATTTCGTTAGCATATTTGACGCGTGTATCTACATTGTATCGAGGGCAACTAAATTTTGGTTAATGGGCCGTTTTTCATGGGGATGGTAAATTTGTCCGGCTAGCAGATTAGCTCGAAACCGTGCAATGTTTTGCCATATAGCTAGCTCTATTTAGTGTAAAACGATACAAATGCGTCGCGTTAGAGTTGTTCCGAATAATTTGAATAATTTTCTTGTTACAAATGAATTTACGCTAATGAACAATATTATTAAATGGATTTAATTCAAGGGATTAGTGATTTAAAATTAGAGAAATATTAGACTATGACACCGGTAGGGATTTAGGGCTTAATTAATTAAAATTAGGGGCCATATCTTACAAGCGGGCCCGTCATGTCAATCCCGATAAAAATTTAAATCTTAGTTCGGCCCTGCTGAGGCATATCAAATGCTTAAT